CGCGGCGGCGGAGGGCAGGGTGGTTCTGGGTGTGTCATTCGACATACGAAACACGTCCAACACCCTACCGTGGCCAGTAATCAGGGAGGCACTGCTCGATCACGACGTGCCTCTCTATCTGGTAGCGGTCCTGTGCGACTACTTTCGGGACCGAGGATTGGCCTACGTCGATGGCAAAGGTAGGCTGATGGTCAGACTGGTGGTGCGCCCCAGGGATCAGTACTCGGTCCACCTATGTGGAATCTGGGGTACGACTCCGCACTAAGTCGTGGCCCTCAGAGCGTCGCGGGCTTATCGTACGGTTTCGCACGCCGCGGCAACTGTCTTGGCGGGTCTTCTGCAGCTGGAGTTGGTGACGGCCTGTCACGCGGAGGTTTACAGACGTACTCGCCTGCTGCAGATTCCGCGGGGCCGCCAGTGGGACAAGGCCAGTAGAGTTATAAAGCTCCAGGCGGAGACGGTCATGGTTGGAAAGTGGAGAGAATATCTCGCCAACCGCACCGTAACCAAATACGGTAGGAGGACCGTCGATGCTGTTCTGCCCCATCTGGACGCATGGCTGGATGGTCGGAGGCACGGACTCACATTCAGAGCGACACAGGTGCTCACCGGGCATGGGTGCTTCGGTAAGTACCTGTGTCGCATATGGAAGAAGGCGGACACGAGGTGTCACCACTGCGACGAGGTGTTGGACATGGCGTAGCATACCTTTGAGGAGTGCCCCCTTGGAACGAGCAGCGCCGTGTCCTGAAAGAGGAAATCGGAGAGGATCTCTCCCTCCCGGCCGTTGTGGCGGCAACGGTCGGGAACGAAGACAAGTGGCGGGCATTCCTGTCCTGTGGGCAGGTAATGCCGCCAAGGAGGAGGCAGAGCGGGTTCGACGCGAGCAGTTCGCTCACAACGCCGCGAACCCGCGACCAAGATAGTCAGATCGCTCCGCGCTTCTGCGCGGAACCATCGCTCGTCCCCCTGGGGCGACATTAGCTACTAAGTAGCAAGAGAGGGTCGTGCAACCCGAGATTCTCCTCCGACGGGGGGAACACTCGGGGTGGACGTTGACGGGCGATCCGGCTGACAACGGTAGCCCGTCAAATTCTCCCACGCACAGGGAGGAGTGGCGGAGCGGGTGGTGTCCCGCGCTCCGCCACACACAGATGCTTTGCTCTAAGAGCAAAAGGGCCTAGGCCCAGGGTTAGGGAGCCTGTTCACCTAGTATGAGAGAAGTCATGACAAGACCTGACTTGACAAGTTCTATATTACTTACCTGTTCTTTTTTTGTCAGGGTAGCCCCTATTTAAGCCCATATTTATTTTTTTTTAATTTTTGAACTCGTGTATTTTTGGCATATGTTGAGGATTCCTGCAATGTCTGATTGTAAAAATTGTATCCATCCGTTATATGTACTGCGATATACTTTTCTTCTGTTTCTCACGCAAAATTATCGATAAGTTTGGAACCGCCGGAAGGAGCCGATCCGCGCCGAAGGCGAGCGCGCGTCAGCATCCCCACGCGGCTCGCCCGACAGCCGGCCTCCTTTTCAACGAACCCGCCGCGCCGGGGTATTTAAGTCGGCGCGACGCTCCGATAGGAGCCGACACTTCGTCTTATCTCCGGCTCTCTGCTGCCTTTGACGAAGCCTACCCTATCCAACTTCCTAGGGCGACACATAAAACGAGGTCCGGTGCTCCGAGTCTCAACTGAGGGCTCTCAGGTGTCCCCGAACTCCAGCCTACCAAACCCCGACTAT